TGTTACATTGACCTTACTGGGAGATTCTCCTATCAAAAGCTCATTACTAGGAATGCCTACAACAAACATTAACTCATGAGTTTCACTTTCACTTCCAAAGTTTTCTGTAGAATTTCTATATTTTGCATTCATTTGAGCTACCAACCTTGCCAGGTATTTTTGCCCCTTGGAAGGGCCCCTTTATCCTCATCATCCTCCAATGGAAGTCCAGCATTCTTCCTTCTGATCAATTCACTGGTTGGATACTTTGTTGGTTCCACACCTGTATTATTAAAAGTAAATCTTTAGTTCATGTGTATAGGGGAAAATGTCTATGTAGATGTTCAGGCATGGTTTTGGAATTTTGATTTTGCCCCGGGGGGGGGGGGGATGACATCATCAACAACCAGTAAGTTATCGTACTGCAGTAACTGATGCTCTGAAGTTCTGGCCAACAGATCTATAAAGGTCTGGGCATGGGAGAGGGCTGAATTCTACAAAATTAACGATGAAACTGTATAACTCCAGAATAATCTTCTAATGTCACAAAAAAAATAAATAGTGGAAAACCTACTGGTTAATTAACACAAACGAAACTGATTGCCATTTCATTTTACTCCCATTTTGTGATTTAACCATGAAAGTTCATCTTACTGAACCACAAAGAACAAAAGAATGCTCTGATGAACAATATCCTAATAACCATGGCTTTTTATGAAAACAGGACAAACCTGTAGATCCTTGGTGTGTTTTACATAGTAGCCTAATCATCTTTTGGGAGATGGTTGGTGGTGTCATCACACAGGGCCTTGTAAAGTCCTGGGCATTTTGATTTTGCCCCGGGGGGTCGGAGGAGGTGGGAATGACATTTTTATGCAGAAAGCACCAGTTTGTGGGAGAACTCCTCCGTCATTTTACATAGTAGCCTATTCATCTTTTGGGAGATGGTTGTTGGTGTCACGTAGATATGCAGTAAGGTTTCTGAATTTTGATTTTGCCTCGGGGGGTCAAATGGGGGTCGAAAAATGACGTTTTTTTTGCAAAAAGCACCGTCTTCCCTGGACTCCTAAATTTTACACAGTAGCCTAATCATCTTTTGGGTAATTAATATACATGTCATATGTGAAAGTCATATCTCTTCTCAATCAAAAGTTATAGGGAAATGCTATATTTTTGAAAAGTAGGTTAAGCTTCAAGGTTAAGGTCACAAAGTCAAAAGTCAAGATTTATTTGGAAAGGTCTTATCACAGGAAATAATATACATGCATGCATATTATGAATGTCCTAACATTTCTCTTTCAAAATGATGAATTTAAAACATGTATTAATATTTTTGCATGCAAGTAGGTCAAACTTGTAGGTCAAGGTTAAAAAAATCATGGCATTGTCACAGCTAAATACAAATACATACCGGTATGTTTAATATGAATGCCTGGTCTCTTCTCCTTCGATAGATATGACCGTGATGACCAAGGTTAAATTTATTGAGACAGATGGACAGACTGACATACAAATGTACATATTTCAATGTGAATAATGGTTAAAATTGGCCCATTGGTTCAAGAGAAGAAGTAAAAAATGTAAAAACTTTCCAGACAAACAGATGGACAACAGGAAACCTGAGAAAAGCCCAAATGAGTATTTTGAAAGGGTTACCATGGTTGATGAAAATGTATGACATGTATCCATTGTTAAAAAAAATTGAACATTTCAGGAAACAGTATGATTGAATATAGTTAATCAAGGTGTTTTGAGTAGCAAAATAAAGCTAGTAAACTTTTATAGCTAATTTAATTCAACCACAAAACTTAGTCAATTTTAAGATGCACAACCTTTTCATCTTTTTTAATAATTATTTTTAAAATATCTGTATCATCATTTCTGATTCAAGGGAGAACAAGAGATATGACCAACATGTTCATATTTTATAATTTATTATTTTTTTTTTAGTAATTTGTTTGTTTATTGTGAAAACATCTCTCTCGGGAATACACATGTGAAATCAGAAATCCCTAATACTTCCTGTTCAAAAGTTAATAGCCAAGTCTAATTTTTTTTAAAGTGGGTCAAACTCTATGGTCAAGGTCAAACATATTTATACCTGTTGAAAGTTCACTATGAATACACATGTTAAGCATGAAAGCCCTAGCACCTACTGATCAAAACTTAGGCCAAGTATAAAGATTGGTATAATTCTTGTAACCAGAAGTCTCTGTTGAGACTGTAGCTCTACTGGTTTGTACTTATAACAAAGGATGAAAAAAGAAGCCATTGCCCTCAGACCAAAACTGTAGAAGGAGTAGCGTTTAAAAGGAATTTAATTGAACATTTTATTTTTCAATTAACCATCGCAACAACGTTCATCGAAATCAAAAACTGATGCACTATTTTATGTATCTTAGTATAGTCTACTTGTGTGCCAAGTTATATTGAAATCAGATCACAACTGTAGGATGAGTAGCGTTTTAAAGAAATTTCACAGAAAATTCTATTTTTAGTAACCATGGCAACAACGTTCATCAAAATCAAAAACTGATGCACTATTTTATGTTTCTTAGTGTAGTCTACTTGTGTGCCAAGTTATATATTGAAATCAGATCACAACCGTAGGAGGAGTAGCGTTTAAAAGAAATTTCACAGAAAATTCTATTTTTAGTAACCATGGCAACATCGTTCATCGAAATCATAAACTGATGCTCTATTTCATGTATCTTAGTGTAGTCTACTTGTGTGCCAAGTTATATTGAAATCAGACCAAAACTGTCGAAGGAGTAGCGTTTTAAAGAAATTTCACAGAAAATTCTATTTTTAGTAACCATGGCAACATCGTTCATCAAAATCAAAAACCGATGCACTATTTCATGTATCGTAGTGTTGTCTACTTGTGTGCCAAGTTATATTGAAATCAGATCAAAACTGTAGGAGGAGTAGCGTTTTGAAAAATTGTTTACAGACAGACGGACAGACAGACAGACAGACAGACAGACGGACGGATGACGGACACCTTACTATCGCATAAGCTCTTCTGGTCTCTGACCAGTAGAGCTAAAAATGGGTAAAAATCTAAGGTCAAGGTCAAGAGGTCAAAATTGGTGGTACCCAAATAAAGGGTCTTGTCACAAGGAACATATGCAATGTGGAAGCCATGAGTATAGCCCATCCTACTTAAAACTTAACTTATAGGCAAGGTTAAAGTTTCTGCTGACAAACAGACAGACATAATATAAACGCAAGATATAAAATATGTATATACTAGTCAAATGGGAAAAAAACTACTAATTTGGAGTCACAAGATCTATTGTAATTTCAGAGGCAGGGAGTGGCTAGGGAGATTGTAACACCCCCACCCCCCTCTTTGGAATTTTCATTGTTATTTGAATAAGACTGTATACTGAAGCAAATTAGAAATGACTTTGGACATCCCCCTTAGAAAACATTGACCGAACGACCCCACTATCATTGTTTTTATTTTGTTAATTTGTTTTTAGTTTTTTTTCTTTGCTTGTCAGGAAATTCTGGACTGGACTTTTTTTTGACTGGGGTGTGAACCCCCCTCCCGAAAAAAATCTGGATCCAGTAGCTATTAAAATGTCACATCGACAACGGGAGAAAACTTCACAATGTGACTGTGGCATGCGATGATCTTTGACCCTTTTTGAACTTTAACATCATTTGCGGTTTATTTTATTTTAGTCTATACTTAAACTTGTACTTACCGACTGTCATAGGTCTCAACTTCATGAAATATAATCCAATTAAAACACAAAATGAATTATTTCAATATACTCCAAACTGCGCCGTGCGCTTATATTTCCATTCGGCAAACCTTCAATCCTTATCAAATGAAGTGGGAATCGGCCAAGGTGTGCCGAGTGATGCTTAATCTAAAAATTTGATAAATGGGTGACGCAAAAAATGTGGTGTAGAATTTTTCCAAAAGGTGTTTAAATGTAAACATGTATGGTAAAAGAACATATTTTAAGTTAATTCATAACAAACAATGTTTTAACGACTTTTCCATCGAGCTTATTTAAAAAAAAACGTACGTACCGTGTGTTTGTGGTGCCGGAAGGGGGGGGGGGGGCTATTAGTAAATTTAAAAGGCTTTTTTATGAGCAAAACATCAAAATCTAATTCACATCATTTATTAATTTCTGGGTTTTTTTTCAGACTGGTAATGAATTTAGCATATATATAAAATACATATAAGATCTTCTGAGTCATAGGTCACATGGGTCACAGGGTCCGGGAATTTCATATTCAATTTGACGAATACATGTTCCATGTATATTATAGAATTATTTTGACTTTTCCTTGGAAAGCCTAATATGTAGGAGTGTGTATTTAGAGGCAAACACCTTAGTGCGGGTATTACTGTCTCATGACAGCATCTAGTTCAAATTGTTGTTATAGATTTTAAAAATTCCCTTTAATTTCCGAGTTATATCCCCTTAATTGAAAATTATTTTTTGGGTTAATTTTTTTTCTTTCAAAAAATTTCTGGATTGGATTTTTTCTTTTGGACTGGGGTCGACCCCACCCCCTGAAAAATAATTCTAGGTCCGTGCCTGACTCTACCTTTGGATATTATATGTCATTTTTTGATGTAATTGACCCAGTATTTCTAAGGAATGTGAAAGTGCGAAAATTTACAGCAACGACAAAAACGACGAACAAATTTTGATCAGAAAAATTTACTTGAATCTTTCCTTCAGGTGAACGAAATGGATACCGATGTCTTACTGTTTTATATAAGTAAAATAAGTATTTAAGATATGTTTCAGAATTACATATGTACCGCATGTACGTTCCTGTCTAATTATTGAAATGAGTTGTTTACATAACTTTTGAATATCATTGGAATTCATTGTAAACCTAGATTTCACCTTACAAAATATTTTGCTTTAAATATTCTGAAACTAAATATTGAAAGGTGTGTTCCACACATAGATAAAAATCAATGTGAAAGTTCCTAATAAGCTTCTGTAAAATTTAGAATTATATACTGAACTTACATTTATAAATTTCCCTAGTCATGTAATGTTTTCTAGGACATCCGTATGAAAAACTTGTGCAATTCTCAGAATTCATGTTACCAGTATTGTGAAGGTACGGGCAATGCTCGGCTAAAACACATAAAATAGTAAAAATAATCAATTTTTAAAATACATGTATTCGTGTGTTTATATTTAACGGGAGAAATCATTACTTTCCTAGAATAGTACCACTTAGAGGATACACGGACTTAAACAATTAAACAGCAATAAAGTTCGATTGAAATGTACATCACCTGAAAAGCACGTACCTAATTGCCATGCAGGAAACTTTCCACTTCTGAAACAGAATTGAACAAGCTCTGTTTTGTTTTCGTTTGGAATACAAATGTAATTATACTCCCCGTCAATCTGAGGACAAAGTTTGGAGGCGGCTTCCAAGTATTCATCCCAGCTTCGCGGACAACTGACCACTTTTGTCTTATTAAACATGAACGACATCTGAAAAAATGTAATGTAATTATGCAGTCAGAATACAATGTATTGTTGATCATCTAAATTAACTGCAAACTCTGTTTTCTTCAAAAGAATCTAAATGATAGTCTAGCATGTGTTTCAGTTCATCATCACTGTGTATTATTTTGATAAAAACCTTATCTGGTTCTAGAATGAACTTGAGAAAACATTGTCAGCCTAATTTACCTTTTATTTTGAAAATATTTTTCATTGTGAAAAATGTACAAAGAGAATTTACAACTATATAAACAAAAATGATATAATTCCTACAGCAATTCCAAAGTGGAATCAAGACTTATCTCCCTTTGGAGTGACAGATATATGTATAAAAGATGTTTTTAAAGTTTGTTTTAAGACTACTTCTGATTCTTCTGTACAGTGGTTACAATATAGAATTTTACATAGGATCCTCCCTGTAGATTCTTATCTTAAGAAAATCAATTTAAAAACTACTGATTTTTGTAAGTTTTGTGCCCAAGAAACTGAAACTGTACTGCATGTATTTGTTCATCGTGACCATATTATATCTTAATGGAGGAACTTGAGTTTACATATATACAGAACAATTTCAAAAAGAATTGCATTTGATGTTAAAAATATTATCTTAGGTGAATTACCACTTACAAATGATAATAGAATTGAAAATTTTATGATATTATACACAAAACAATATATTTTTTCATGTTTATTGCAACCAAAAATACCTTCACTTTTTGGTCTACTAAGCTATTTGAAAATGAAATACAATATTGAAAGATGCATATCTATTAACAATTCAAATCTACTTTATTTTGAAGAACAATGGATTTTCTGGAAAAATATATTCGAACAAATGTAAGATTACACATCTGTATGTTCGATGTTTGTTTAAATTAGTTTGCATGATAGAGACAACTGATTATTATAAAGCAACCTTCATATTAATTTAAAATGTAAATGGATGTAAGGATGGGTGTGTGAGTGTTAAATATCCATTGTAATTTTGCTGTTATTTTAATTTGATTCTGTATGTAATACAATGGATAATAAAAAAAAAACCTTATCTGGTCTGATAAATGTATACGATGTTGTAATTTTTTCTTTTAAAAAAAAATGACGTTAAAAATTTGGTAGAATAACTTTTTAAATAACATATCCATCAACTAATATAGAACTATATGAAGTGATTTCTGTGATATCAGCCATGACAGTTTACATTCAAATTTAAGGGTAGCGTGTCAGTGAATTGTTTCACATGGCAGTCTTACCTTAAAGCAAAGTGGCAAAATGTACAAGCTGTCATTTGGTGATGTCAAGTTACTGAGGCATGAAACGCTTTGCTTTTCGTAAAGTGTACAGCGTGTTCACGCAATTAAGTTTGCTTCCAGCAAACTTAATTTTCAATCAGAAAATGCATAACTGATTTTTATTCGCTTTTCATAAATGTTAGCTGGAAATTTGATTTTTTTTACATGTACTCTATGACACGAACAACTTTTGAAAAATATTACACGATCAGCTTTGAAAAAGTAGTATGGGTCAATACGAGTAAATATTACTTCTTGAAATTGAGACATTCTGTTTTCAAGTGGATGCTTTTCATGGAGATATAAAGAAACATTTAAAAAAGCCATGCCCTAGTATGTTTGATGATCAATCGTTAAGAAAAAGTGACAATTTGATTTCAATATAAAATATTTTTGAGTCATAAAATGATTATAAGCAGAAGCATTTTACCATTGAACAATGGAAAACGAAACTAAAGAAATTATAAATATATGATATATTACAAATATAGTAGTTAGAACGGTTAATTAAATATTCAGTTTTGATAATTTTTCCATACCTTCCTCAGAATACAAGATAATTATCTCATGAGCTGGTAATATCTTGGCTTGAAATAATATTGCGCAAATACGTTAGATGGCGTCATTGAAGGCAAAGTATTTTTAAATAACAGACTGGAATAAATACACAAACGCGTCCACCCGTGAGTCACGGTTGAAATCAATAACCGATTGACAAGCATGAAATCTCATTATGAATACCTAAACTGGAACATCGAAAACACACTTGAAAATAGAATAAACAAGTTGTCCTTTAAAAAAACTGCAATACGTGGACCGTATGCAAATCGAAATTTAATTAGAGAATTTCAGGTTTAGTGAATGTTCATGTAGATTCATTTACAATTCTACAGTGACCTGCCTTCTTTGACTGTTAGTTCTTATATAGCAAAATTGTTAAATTTTATTTCTGATTTTTCTGTAGTTTTGTCATTTTAAAAAATCGAGCTATTTTAATACATGTACCTCATAACATCTGGGACTGAACATCTGTTCTGGATTTTTACAGAAGAAATCTTTCATTGAAAAAAAGATCTGTTAGTACACGTGAAGCACAGCTCTGTAGTTCGCCTTTAACAAGCTGAACTTGGATTGCTGTATATCAACTTTTTGTGCGATCCTTGATGCTCAAAACTAATGCCTGTGAAGACTTGATCTATCTTTTAAAAGCTAGTCGTTGAATAAAATTTTTAATTCAAGTTATAAAGTTATCTTTGTACTGCAAGTCCTGCCTAGTTTTTGATATGTTTATGCTATAGAATGAATGTTAAGTTAATTTTGTACATTGTACTGTATATACAAGTTTATATATAGGAATGAAGTTGGGATCCGCAAATGAATATATAAATTTGATATAGATATTTAAAAGCGAGCTTTGCAAATGAATGGCATATTCTAATTCGACTAGGGCGAATTATTCTACGGGCAAGTGGCCTCTTTATCATTCACGCGTATGCGCAGCGTGATATTTGCTTATGGCATCCAGTTTATCTCGCTTTTATATTTTCTGCGTGGAACTCAGGGTCCAGGCAATTAATGCATTATTTTATTTGCAAGAAAGTGAATAGGATTGTGCATCAGGCAGAGTCTTTTCAGTCCTCAAGGGCTAATAAGCTCGCCTTATTATATGTAGTGCAGTTATAGATACAAGACCATTCTTGGATTAGTTTTCCTTTAGCATGTTTAAAAAAAAAAACATGACACACTACAATCTATTATTTTTGTTTTTAAAAAATTAACCTGAAAATAAAACTGGATAGTTTTTTTTCAAGCTTTAGTCATTTGTCTCTTTAATAGATATTACCCATAATAATACAAGGTGTTTAATTTCGAATTGCATGGCGTAGGCACCTCCCCAAAGTTGCAGTCATTCACGTTTTCAGTCAAAATGCATTAGAAACATGGTCATAAACTATTTTCCTCTATAATAATACATCTTCTAATTTTTGACATGGCTGTATCTATATTTTTAAATCTCCTTGAAAAAAAATCCAAATTTTGCATGCCGACTGAAAATTCATTTAATAAAGTTTATCTCCTCTGTATAAACTAGATTATTTTGAGCACATAATTATTCACTATGGAAAGATAGACAACTTTACTTGTCACATTTATACAACTGGGCATGCGCAAGGAAAATTTCCTTTTCCTGTTGAACAACAAAGCTGCTGGTACCAAAAATTTTAACTGAAGAAAATTACGAGCATCTGAGGCATCATGTAGAGAAAGTCAAACCATGCTGAGAGCCAACAAAACCAAGGCATCAAAGGCCAAAAGCCCATATGCCCGCCCGGTATCCAAGACATCTGCGGCGCATAGTATTGTAGCCTACACGGTGACCACCAAAGCTTCCACAGTAGCGTCGACGTCCATTGAACCCGCAGTACAGTTAAGGTGCGCAATGGAAATATAGAGTAAATTTTGTATTTAAAAATGTATTCGTAATCGGGATGGCGATTATTTTTGGTACATTATCTATATCGGATAATTGTAATTATGATTAATAACTACATATCGAGGGCAATACTATTTTATATTTAGACTAGTCACGTGATGCGGCAGTCACGCGATTTTCGCACATTGGCTTGAAGTATTGATGTTACGTATAAATATCACTAGTGCAAGGGCATAACCAATTTAAATTTCCAAGTTTATTATATAAATATTTTCAACACGCATTGTAGTTTCTAAAAATTGCTGCGATCCTGTCTAAATTCTGTAATTTCATTGTTAAAATTATACTTGTATGACAGAATGCTATATTTTTAGCTGGTCAGCGGCATGAAATATTGATATAATTAAATTGTTTTTAAGATTTCATCAGGATCGCAGCACTTTTCAGATACCTTGATAGTTCTATAGTTGAAATGTAAAAGCTTACTTTGATCCATAGAATGTATGCCCTTGCACTAGATCGATTCATTAAGACCCCCCACATTACCCTCCTATGTACTTGCATACAAATATACGGCAGTGTCAATTAAATATGTAATGTACAGAAAATAAGTTAATAAAATAGTGAACAAGACATTAAATTCAAGTTATTGGCACATAGAATATATTTAAATAATATTTTATTTAATTAGGGAACGCATATTTTGTTGAGAAAATATTAGTTGATCTGTCTCTCACTGCATACAAACTACGTCATGTTGTAAGAAATGACGTCATATTGACAAGTGTATTGCGATCAGTAAACTGTTTATAACTTGTTATGTGGAATTTAACTAACGACAAAACAACACGCTGTAGAAAGTTTTTAAGTAGTTTGATGATTTCTTACTGTTTAAATTAGCAGATAAACTCATTTTATGGTATTTTAAAGAAATGTTGTATGACTTATATTGTGTATGATGTCATAGTCAAGTTTTCCCGTACAAATTTGGCTCCGCCTCCTTTTTGTAACCTTAACTGTGCTGCGCCCATCATACCGAAATCAGTCACTAGTCATTATTCCAAGGCAGCTATGTCAGTGCCAACAAGAACTTACATAGTCAGCCAAGAATCGCTTGTTCAATTAGTACCCCTACAGTCTGTCTACGAGACTGCAAACATCCTAACTCATGTTGTGCAGACTGTACCAATCCAACAGACAGTGGAGCCACAATTGCCTGTGCCAACAACTGGCACTACAGCAGGTATGAATTGCATGGTTGAAATAGATAGGCCTACACCTTTCCAGAGTGTAGCGTCAATGCTTGGAGCTCATGTCTCTCAAGCATTGAAAGAAAAAAAATTGGAATAACGAGTATGTCGCTCTGAGCAAACTGTTGATCAAAGAGCCAGTTTCAAATATACAGCACCACATTATTTATCTTGATGGTTTAAATCTTTCTGATTAAAGCTAAGTACAAAGATGAAAAAATTAAGTCTGTTTCACAATGGACTGATGTCTTTTTAACTTTTGCCTCAATTTACTGCGCCGAGCACTCTGCACAAGCTATAAATTTATTTTGTTATACGGCAACAATTAGAAAAGGTGCACCTTGCCGGCTGGTAGGACATTTTGTAGGAGAATTTACGGGGCACTACGGGGTGTCGATAGATCTTTTCATTTGATTAGAATATCTAATGAGATTAAGTTGGACCTTCAGATGTAGGTTGTATTTCTGCAAAATTTTAATTGACTAACTCGGTTTCCATCAGTAGATTGGTCAGGTAGTGATATGTTGCAATTTTATACAGACAGTTCAGGGTCGTTTGGGTGTGGTGTTGTTTTGGCGTTGAATGGAGTGTGTTAGCTTGGCAAGCAAGTTGGTCTCAGGAGATAAAGAAGGATATTACTATGTTGGAGCTTATTCCAGTATTGTTGGGTATTATTATTTAGGCTGAAAAACTAGCTTCTAACAAATTGCTATTGCATGTTGACAATTTAGCACTCGTTCAAATAATTTTTAATTTTTAAAAAAAGAGATTTGTGATTTTGTTGAGAGCTTTGCTTTGATCCTCAACACTTTGCAGAATAACATTCAGATCAAATGTCAACATATTCAAGGTATTAAGAATGATAAGGCAGATGCTCTTTCTCGTTTTCAGTTTTCGAAGTTCCCTCAGCTGGCTTCTGGGACTCGGTCATATCCTTGTCCAGTTCCTATGCCATTTTGGCAAATTATTCATCAACTGATGAGCTAATAGATGCTAGCATTTCGTACAATGCAAACAAAGTTCATAGGCAGGGCATTCAAACAAGTATTAAATTTAGGGTAGATAACTCTTTTCCACAAATGTGGCCTCCACCTGTTGACCATGTCATCACTTTTGATGCACACATATCAGAGAAAAAATGCGCCTTTTCAACTGTCAAGTGTTATCTGTCTGGTCTGAGCTTCTTTATAAACATTCATGGATGGCCAAATTCGGTGGAGTCATTTTTAATTAAAAAACTGCTTACTGGTTTCAAAAAGTAGCAGTGTCTAGTGATATTAGAAGGCCTATTACCTTGCACTTATTAGGTTGTATCATAATTACAGAAACGCTGCACGGTTTACACGAAACGCTTCACGGTTTGCACGAAACGCTGCAAGGTTTACACGAAACGCTACACGGTTTACACGAAACGGAAAGCTCACGAAAGTCACACGCTTTATTGGGGTAGTAGCACGTCCCAGGGTGTGTACCTTGCCATATGTTGCACAATTTTTATACGAGGCAACATTATTTCAATGTGCCTATTCAGTAGCATCTTTGCATTTCTTAGAGTCAGTGAAGTAGTAGACCTTCAATATGATAGTGTTCAGTTCTTACAATACCATGTAAGTCTACCGATTAAAAGTTCCAAGACGGATCAAATGCACAGGGGTTCAGCAGTTAAAGTCCCAAAGCATGCCCAGTCATTAATTTGTTTACAATACTGCAGAAAGTTCTTCCAATGCGTCAGACAATTTCAACTCCAAGCCTTTGACTCAGTATCAGTTTTCTACAATGCTCAATAAATGTTTATAATTTTTTTACAATAAACACATCAGTTTTCAAATCTAATTCTTTTAGAATTGGTGGGGTCACACATCTGCATTTAAATGGTATGAGCGAAGCTGAAATCAAAACCATTGGCAGATGGAGATC